GAGGCCGGCACCGCGGCACGAACTGGGGGAGGCCCGCGCCGAGTGCTCGGATCAGCTTTGGGCACCCCCTGGATCCCAGAGGCCCTGGGCACCCCCTGGGATCCCCAGGGGCGGCGGGCTTTTGTCCCGTTCTGGCCCTCCATGGGTCCCTCGCGGGGCCTCGGGGCCGTCAAGCAACAACTCAAAAGGGCGAACGAAAATGCCCTGGGGAAGTGGTCCAGACCTCGGGGGCCGACGAATCGAAAACATGGGGGCAGCCGGATGTCTGGGATCCTCAGGGGCTTCGGTTGCAGATCATGGGAGCCTGGCGCACCCTTTGAGCTCCGTCTTGAGGGTGCGTTAGCGTCGATCAGCGTTTGGTGATCGATGGGATAGTGCCGAATTAGCGTCGATTAGCGTCGATTCGCAAGGGCCAACAAGATGGTGTTTCGCAAGAGCCGGCAAGATGGTGTGGTAGGCCCCCACGAGTTGCCAACGAGAGGGCTGGGGGTCTGACTCCAGCCTCGGGGGGCCAAGCCGGAGGTGCCCCGGGCCAGAGTTCTCACGGACAGGTCGGGCGTCCACCCACTCCCGAATCATCGGGGTTGGGGGTGCTCATCGTGGAGCAAACAGTGACATCAACATAAACTTTACCAGTTTGAAACATATCCCTATCCCTATGTTTGACATCACCTCACCTCGATGCCGATCTTGAGGATTCCCTCAGTTTCTGAGGGCCTATCCCTAAGATTGTCCTCGCTTTTTGCTCGCCCATCTTAGGGATAGGGATACATTCGAGGCTGGTTAGAACTGTCCGAGGTCCGCGCGGATTTCTTGAATCGGCGGGCGTTGGAGCCCCCTGGCGGCGCCAGGGAGGGGGGGGTCCAGCGCCGCTCCGAGAGATCCGCGCGGGCCTCCGCAAGCTTTTGCTCATGCACTTCTCCGCTCCCCGAAGCTCCTGGTGCGTGCGTCGGGGGCCCAAACTGGGCTGACTGTGCTTTTCGAGGAGGAGATCGGCTACCGAATTGATCAGCCCCAGAATTTCAGAGGACTCTTCATAGGTCTATGAACGATTTGCACATTTGCTGTAGCTTCGACGAGACAAGCGCTTTTGGGGCAAATCAATTCTACAGTCGATCTACTCGAAGTTTGGGCCCCCGACGCACCCACACGAGGTCCTTCATGGCCTGATTGTGGCACCCCATCAAAGTCATCATCGTCGTCGTCGTCGTCGTCGTCGTCGTCGTCGTCCTGTTCATCCGTCTCCTCCTCCCCCTCCTCCTCCTCCTCCTCCTCCTCCTCCTCCTCCTCCTCCACCTCCCTCCTCCTCCTCCTCCTCCTCCTCCTCCTCCTCCTCCTCCTCCTCCTCCTCCTCCTCCCCCTCCTCCTCCTCCTCCTCCTCCTCCTCCTCCTCCTCCTCCTCCTCCTCCTCCCAGTTTCGTCCCAACCCCCCTCGCGACCGATTTTCTGGGGTCGCCCGCGGGGGCGCCAAGAGCAGCGCGCGTCGCGGTCGGGGTCAGAGTGGTTGCCCGCCTCCGGGGCGACAGAGAGGTTGCCCGCCTCCAGAGCGGCAGAGAGGAGGAGGAGGAGGAGGAGGAGGAGGAGGAGGAGGAGGAGGAGGAGGAGGAGGTGTTAACATGTGAGCATTCAGGTGACTGGGGAGTGAAGGTGTCCCCGTTACCGTTTGGCTCAAGTATTTAACGGCTGAAGCTACCGAGACTTGCTTCGCCGTGCTGAGGTAAAAAGGTGACCGATCGTCATCGCTGTCACCGAGCTCCCGTGCAGAACCCTCCTCGGGGTTTTGCATGGTAGCGGAGCGCGGTTGCCATGGCGGCGGCGGCCGCTGCAGCTAGGCCCGCGCAGGGCGACCCGCCGGTCAACCTTAACACGCCGGCGGACAGAGATGCATGGGTCAACATGGACCCTAACCGCTTCAACGACCTGTGCGAGCAGGCGTACCTGAACGGGGACTTCAGTTACGTTCAGACGGCGTTACTTGCAAATCATTATGGACTTGCGACGTTCATTAACGAGCGAGTAACACAGGACCGAAAGGAAGTATCGAACGTTGAGGCATTTCAAATGTTACAGAGTGCTCAGAAGACCAACAGCATGTTGTTAGCGATAACGAAGAGAAACGCTGCGCTTGAAAGGGATGCTCGCAGATTGGTAGAAAGAGTTACCGAGTTGGAGACCAACAGCGAAGCACAAGAGAAGTTAATTGAAAAGTTTGGTCAGCTTTCGGAAGCAATCGAAGGCGGAAGCAGAAGTAAGCACGGGAGCGGTAAACCGATAAGCGAGTACAAAGCATTGCAGGCGTTAAGGAACTTCAGTGGAGAAAGAGCAAAGTTCAGAGACTGGAACGACAAGTTCTTAAACGCGCTTGCACTGAAAATGTTGAACAAGAAGTTGGAGACACTTGACGGAGTTGTCCCAGAGGAAGACGATGATGATATCATACGCATAATGAGCGGTCGGTTAACAGCAAGCGAATACTTAAAGGCAAACCAAGCTAAACAAGCAGAGGATGACAACAAAGGAGATTATGAGTTTACCGAGGGAGACAAAACTCAAATGGAGGAAGACTTATGGTACATCCTTAATGAAAAGCTTGAAGGTGCAGAAGCAAGGGGAAAATTAAAGGGACTCATGGATGGTGACGGAATTATGGCTTGGCAAAAAGGTTTACAAATGGTACTCGGCTGTTACCGGAGCGACCCTTTCCTCAAAGATGACGCACGCTATGAACCCTGAGCCGCCCAAGAAAATTACCGATACCGTTGCCCGACTTGAGGAGTGGAGCGCGTTAGCGGAGAATCTTGAAAAGTATGGCAAAGATTACTCACTGCCCCTCCCCTTTAAGGTTACCGCGCTCGGGGCAATAATGGTGCACGCGAATGATTGGTTTGACGAGTGGCAGCAGGCGTGTTGGCGAACACCTGACGCACTTAACATTGATTCGTTCCAAAGTTATACTCCAACTGTGAAGATTGGGCGCGTAAAAAGGAGCTTGACTCAGACACCAAAAATAAAGATGCGATGGGCATTGGATATATTAACGAGACGAGTCAAGGGTCCGAAAGTGTCTGGGATCAGACAGGATGGGTTGACGAAGATGGAAACTGGTGGCCAGAGGGCGGATCTTGGAGTTACGGGTCCTGGGCTAATGAAAGTGAAACTGGGGATCATGAGGAAGTTGACGCCGTAAACAAGGGCAAAGGAAAAGGCTCAGGTCCCAAATGTTAAAATTGCGGAGGCGTGGGCCATTTAGCCAGGAACTGCACAAAGCCTAAACAGTTCACGAAAGGAGGCAAAGGTGGCAAAGGCGGCAAAGGCAAAGGTTACCGTGCCACCTATGGATCTTACATGAAAGGTAAGATTGGAGGTAAACAAGGTGGTAAAGGTGGCGGCTCGCGGGGTGGAAGTTACGGTGGCCAAGGAAGATTTACCCCCCACAGCGAGCGTGAATGTTACATGTGTGGCGCTAAAGGGCACATTGCAGTTAACTGCCCAGGCCCCAAAAAGACCGCCAACGAAGTTGAGCAAGAGAGACCAACGGTAAACGCGGAAAGTGAACAAACCACCTCGTTTGGACAACCGCAGCATGTGCTCAGCGTCGAGATGAATGATGAAGTAAACGTGCCACCGGAACCGCCCACAGCTGAGGAGCTTAGCGGACAGTGGGCACTGCCCTCACATTCCAGAAAGAAAATGGCGCGTAAAATCTCAGTGGGCCTGAGAAAAGCTTACCAGGAGCATCAGTGTAACGGGAACTGCAATCATGTAAATCAGTGGGGCCAGAGGATAAGTAAAATCATAAAGCAGGAAAAGAGTTGGCTTGAGAAACGTGGAGAAATTGGGTTAATCGAGATGCGAGACTGTGGCCCAGAAATTAACGCGGTGCCACCTCAGAGTACAACGCACGAAACAATCGTGGTTACCGTGACTCTGGAGCGTACAACACGGTAGGACCCCCAAGAATAGGCGCCCATTTCCCCATTAAACAGACAGATGCGTCAAAGCAGGGAAGACACTACAGCGCGGCAAACGGAGCGACGATAAAGAATTACGGGCAGCGAGTAGTAACCGGCAAGAATGAACATGGAGACTCAGTCAGCATGCCAATTCAAGTGGCGGAAGTTAACAAAGTTCTGGGATCTGTCAGAGAGATGGTGAACGCTGGAAACAGAGTGGTATTTGACAAAGACCTTAACGGGAAATCCCTGAGTCATGTTATGAATAAGGCCACGGGTAAATGTACGACCATCCACGAGAAGAACGGCACGTTCCAGTTTAACATCATGGTGCCGAAGGGACCGGTGGAGGCTGTCAAGCCCAAGAGTGAGGTAAACGCAGCTGAGGGTTTTCCGCGGCCGGGAACCCTCGAGGCGGACCTGCTCTACTAAGCCCCTCATTACCCGTAAGACCAAGCGAAAACTTCAACGTCTTTAACACCGAAGAAGGTGAAGGGAGTGAAAGTGGGGGCAGCGAAAGTGAGTTGAGTGACGTAGAGGACGTGTTTGTGAGTGACGAGGCAGAGTTACCGAAGAAAGTTTACTGTGACATGAGGCCGTCAAAGGAGGAAGTTGAGGCGCACAATGCAACGCATTTGCCTTGCCGAAGTTGGTGCCCACTTTGCGTTAGAGGCAAGGCGCGTAGGCGCAATCACAGGAGACGTAAAAGGACAAGGAACGGAGGTGCACCAGTAATTTCAATGGATTACATGTGGCTTAAAGGAAGAAAGGAAGAAGGCGAAAGTGCGAACAATGGTAACCCAATTCTGGCCATGCATTGCAGGGGAACCAAGTTAACGTGGAGCCGAGTGTTGTTGAAGAAAGGGGTGGATCCATACTCAGTAAAAGTGGGATGTGACATGATCGGCTTTACCGGACATAAGAAGGTCATACTCAAAAGTGATGGAGAAGCGGCAATTACGGCGCTGGCCAACACGATTAAAGCGTCGAGTGACCTTGACATGGGTGTTGAAGTCAGTCCTGTAGGCGACTCAAAGGCCAACGGTG